TGTATTTAAATTATAATTATCATCTTTTGTAATTGATATTTTATCTTTTTCTGTATTTAAATTATAATTATCATCTTTTGTAATTGATATTTTATCTTTTTCTGTATTCAATACTGTTACTACTTCTATAATGTCAATATTCTTTTCATCATTTGGGTTAAAATTATTATTTTCTTCCATTTTTTTAATAAATAAAAACTTTTTCAATGTACATATGAAAAAAATTTTTTTAGATTGGAAGAGCGATAAAAAAAAAAGACTTCGTATGTTGTTTATATTCGCCCGTTCAGATTATTAAAAAATGCAGTCATCACAATGGCGCACACTTTATAAATAGATGAAAAAAAAAGTATTGTCCGAATTCGTCCGTTTAGAAAATGCAGTCATCATGGCGTACATCTACTTATGCGTTAATAAAGTATAATAGATGAAAAAAAAAGCATTGCCCGAATTTATTAGAGCACCTCAATATAGAAAAAGTATATCCCATCTATGATTTGATTAGAGTGCCTTTATATAGTAATCTGTACCTTTTTTATAAAAAATATTGAAATTAGCCAATAAATTATTTTCACAATTAATATTGAAGAATTAATTTTAAAAGGAACTGCAATCTTCAGGACGAAGTTGATGAATATAAAAAAATGATTTTGCGAGGGTGACCAAGAAAAGGTTTCAGATCGGTAATATCATACAGACTGTAGGGTGATTGTAAGTATATGTATTAATAGCAATATTAACAACTAAAACTACTTGAGATTTCATTTAATTTTTTTATAATGTTAAATTTTTCTCATTTGCTGTTTAGCTAGCATTAATATAATTGATAATGTGAGCGTGCGATCTGAGTTTGGTTAATTAATGTGATTCACTTATACTAGTAACCCACCAGCTCTTCTAATGACTCTAATTATATTGTTCGGACCCCTAGTCCCAAGATAATCGGAGATTCCCGCACTATATTGTTCTTAAAACCAATGGCACTATCTCAAAACTAATGGATTATTGCTAGTATAAGGTATTCATAACGTTATGATCATACTAAGGTTGCTTGCTGAAACCTCTTAGCGACTGTCGAAACTCTGTCGAAACTCTAATGAACAATTAGGATATACCTTGTCAAAACTCTGACAA